CTTAAAGCTTAGGACTTAAATCATCTATTGTAGACTGGGACTAATCACAGTCGCGCATTCTTCTCATACTTGACCGTGATTGGCCAATTTCTTAAAGCTTAGGGCTTAAATCATCTATTGTAGACTGGGACTTAAGAAATTGACTAATGACAGTCGCGCATTCTACTCATACTTGACCGTGATTGGCCAATTTCTTAAAGCTTAGGGCTTAAATCTTTGACTATATAACTATGGACTGCTCGTTGCCTCCACTTTGCCTGGTCTAACACGAAATCAACATCACGAGTGCCGCCATAGGATAAATGGCAGAAAATCGAAATACTAAGTCAGATTTAATGGTAAAACAGGACAGAAGACAGAGATAGAATATAGCTTATGTCGTGCTGTTTTATCACGTTTATCAGAGTTCAGAACCAATATATAATAATTGGTTCTGAACTCTGATAAGGGCAACTTTCACCAAGCTCCGGTTAACCCAACCGGTCTAGTAACATGCAGGATTGCAACCGAATCCGATGAGAAATCTGATGAGAATCTGAGAAAATATATCAGATTCGGTTGCAATCCTGCATGTTACTAGATCGGTTGGGTTAACCGGAGCTTGGTGAAAGTTGCCCTAAATGTGATAAAACAGCACGACATAATGCCCATTCTACACCTAGGGATGATCCTACTTGTGGCTCATCCGATACTCGCTTCTATACCTAAAGCTAATCCTACTTACAGCTTATCCGAGGAAGTGGTATAAAGTGTAAAAGGTACACTGTAGTTGTACTTTGGTACGATTAGAAACCAACCAAAGTGTAAACCTTTTACACTTTATACTACTCCCTCGGATAAGCTGTAAGTAGGGTTAGCTTTAGGTATAGAAGCGAGTATCGGATGAGCCACAAGTAGGATCATCCCTAGGTGTAGAATGGGCATAAGCTATATTCTATCTCTGTCTTCTGTCCTGTTTTACCATTAAATCTGACTTAGTGTTTCGATTTTCTGCCATTTATCCTATGGTGGCGCTCGTGATGTTGATTTCAGCCTGAATACGGCAACGAGCAGTCCATAGTTATATAGTCAAAGGCTTAAATCATCTATTGTAGACTGGGACTTAAGACAATGTTTTATGTTTTACACCTTTGTCTTAAAGTAACGCACAATAACTCTTGTGACTAACCCCTGGTCCTTGCTTTAAATAATTACAAACACGTATAGTTGCCAAATTATAAAACTCTTAAAACATCGAGTACAATAATCCTTAGATTTAATCAACAATTAAAAACATGGGTCAAAAACTGGAAGAATCATGGCCAAACTCCGTCCTCATATATGCATTGTGATCATATTGTTGATATGATGACAATGTCGGTTTTACATACATCAGGTTAGCAAGCCTGTAAAACGTCGTATCCCAGCAAACACCAAAGTAACAATTACATAACATCAATGCAAATGTAATATAACAGGCATGTGTTATATTACATTTATATTGATGTTATGTAACTGTTACTTTGGTGTTTGCTGGGATCATGCTGTTACCATGGACGTTCGATTAAACTAAATTATTGAAAACGCTATTATAGTGCTGAATTAATGTTAATACTTTGTCAACCGAAAAGCTGGCTAATCTTGGCCTCATCTACATAGTCGTTATTTTCAACAGAACACAAGCGTTACCTTTTTATATTATAGATTTTCTTCAGCAGAAACAGCTGCTTTGCAACTGTTGTAAAATTTATAAATCTAATTAGCGTACTCTCTTAGTCCTGAGTGAATGCCTGTAGCCGGTATTCATAGTCAGATCTTATATTTGAAACCGTCCTAAGATCATCGTTAGATACTCCATAGCGAATTATGAAAATGTTCCTTACAGCAGCTTCCGATAAATTCAAGACGGTCGTAAATGTAAGATCTAACTATGAATATCTCTTATGTCTGCGTCCAGCATAAAAAGTTGTTTTGCAACTGTTCGAAGATATGTAAATTTTGAGGGTAGCGTCACGTGGAGCGTAACCTGCGTATCGGCAATCACAGAACCATTTCGACTGAATTATTGAAACGGTTCCATCAGAATGACCCGATCACGCGTCATGGGACGTCACCTTGACTTATGCTTTTAAGTCCACGATTAAGCATTGAGACTAGCTTTAATTTTATTTTGTCATTCCGCTGCGGACTACCTCTATCATCTGATTTTCCCTTCTTTCTTGTAAGTCTCATGAGAGTTATCGTTTCGTTCACTACCAATTGTATAAAATTATTCACAGAATAAATACAACAAAAAATTATACACAAGATTTACAAGCTAAATCTAAACGAGTAGAGGAACTCGATAGCCGATAGGTGACCGTCTAATTTAAATTTGAAAGCTTTAAGCCCGTATCAGACTACGGATTGAGATTGACATTATATTAAAATTTGATTAATCAGAGTAAAGTTTACTAATATCAAGTTTAATGAATTTTACCCTGATTGGTCAAATCTCAATCTAATCTCGATCCGTAGTCTGATACGGGCTTTAAGCAGTTCACCCAACTATTCGACCTATTATATACTATAATTAATTATATATAACAATATATAACATTTGTGAGTACTTCCTTATTATTTTTATGAAAATTCATATAAATATATGATTAGAATAGACTACTCGTTGTTGCAATGACCTGAATTGTATGAAAGTGGAACACTCAGTCTAGCTATAAGGTGTACTTTCTAGAGAGAAATTGCATCGCAAAGGTTCTCTTTCTAAGTACAATTCGCGTAGTCTGGTCATACGTACAGTCATTCGTCATACGTGTACTCTTTTTACCAGCAGCATCAATCGAGAGAAAAATGGATACAAATATAATGGGCAGCATTTTCATCTTTAAAGCAGCGATCATCGTATTTATGACATTATTGTACACTTTGCTGGAACCTTATCTACCCGCGTTGATGAAACGAGCCTTCCTCTATGGCAAATTTAGTATAAAGACGCCTCACACAATAGCAGCAAAATTCGAAGTGCCTAAAAGGTAAATTAAAAAGTAGCATTTATATCTTTCTACAAAAATTGAATAATTTATTGTAATTTACTGATAATATATGTATATATTATTGAAGATATCATACCGTGTATTTATTAATTTAAATTTGAATTACTAAAAAAAATGTTTCAGGTGGTTTAAACATTTTTATGTTGTCTCTGCACCATTGATGACTGTTACTCTTTGCTTAGTCCTTTATAAATATCGTTATAATGCGCAAGTGCCCGAAATTGTGTTTACATTGTTAGACACATTATTAGGAGCGTCAAGAAAACCATTAAGTATATCTTTTTAAGTATTTCTCAAATGATATTCAGTATATTATTTAGATACTGAGTGTTGTTAATTCTATAAACATTAATATACAGAAATAGTTAGATAATTTTTTTTCAGTATCAGGAGAAGACGCAATTCTGGCTTTTGTCATATATAATATACATTGTTGGAAGAGAGTATACGAGACATGTTATATTAGTGTATTTAGCAATCAGAAAATTCACGTGTTCATTTATTTAGTTGGATATATACATTACACTGGAATAATACTGTGTATAATAGGCGAATCCGAAGGATTTGTTAAAGGTACGATCTTTAAAAATTTGTAGATATTAATGTTAATTTCTTAATATATATACACATGTCATATTTTTTTTGTAGGTTCGCACGCGAGTGTAAATTTGGACAAACTAACAACTGCCAAACTAGTTTGTGCTTTTATATGTTTATGTTCATCATACATGCAATTAAAAACCAATTTAACTCTTGCAAACTTACGTAAAAATACGCATGGCGATGTTGTATCCTTTGAGTATAAAATACCGTCCGAGGGTCTGTTTAAGTACATAGCAGGCCCATTGCAATTACTAGAAATACTTATATATTTAATGCTGTCTGTGATCCTTTGGCAAGCTTCTACATATCATTACGTTACTCTGTGGGTTGTAGCAAATCAGGTAAGAAACAGAATTCGACAAGAAATATTATATTTTCTCAAGAAAGAGAAAAAATTAAGTGTACAAATAACTCTTTCTAGGTGGAAAGTGCAGTCCTGGCTCATCAGTGGTACCGTAAAACATTCAAAAATTATCCAAAAGAGAGGAAGATTTTAATTCCTTGTATATGGTAAAATTCCTCTAGGAAAAATTTTGATAATTAATTATTAAAGACGATATTCGATAAAATAACTACAGATCTAGAACCAAAGTGCTTATTGCTATTTATGTTATTAATATTCAATTTATATATTTACATGTTTATAATGTATGTGAAATAAATGTATACCTAATAGATTTAGCAATTCTGCATTCTTATATTAGTTTAAAAAATGCCTATTTCCATACATTGCTTCTACTTTATTATACAATGGTATTAAATATGGATTTATTTTCATTATATTACGTACAATGTAATGAACATGATACAACATCTATAACAATATAACTGTATTTATAAAAAAATCTTTCTAGTTTTAAACTGTGAAATATTTTTTGTTCAAATAAATGCACGAAGATGTGTTTCTGCACCTATTTAGTTACTTGAACAGTAAACTGAAACAAACAAAATTATTCCTCCCTGGGATACGAATGTAATAGCAATTCTTATAAATATTAAAATACGAAGCATAATGATATTATTGATTTTTTTCAGTCTTTCAAATAATATCATTATGCTTCAAAATATTAACCACATTTGCTTAGCTTATTATATATTAAAGATGAAAGAACATACCTATATGGATAACCTTGAGCTTTGTTCCTAAATATCGATAAAAGAAGACTAAAGAAAATTGCGACTAATCCTGCACCTATCACAGCTAGTATCTTGCGCTTCTTAACGTCTCCTTTACGAGCTGCAGCCTCAGTCATTAAGATCATTCCCAATACCACTGCTCCGTCTTTTTATAGGCAGTTAAGGTCTACATTGCAACGTATAAACCTAATTTTTCTATACCTTTATGCAAGCTGCCTTTCGTAAAGTAATTACTGAATATACTAAAAGGATACTCATGACCATAACAATATAGGTTTCCACTATGAATTGTCCTTGAGAAGATCCATGGATATAAGCTACATTGCCATTAGGCGATTTGTGGAAAAAGGGTGGCCCTCTGATATGATTCCACATTTGTCCGGAAGTCATATTTATGGCGAAGAACTGGAAACGAGAAAATTCGAATTACTTGTTACGAACGAAAAGAAGGGATCGAGAAAGAGCACACTCACCAAAGCGCAGAATCCCCACAGATTTTTGTTGTAAATGAAATCCAAGTTGTTACGTCTGAGATACAGGCCGCCTCCTATGATAACTATGAGCATTCCTAATCCTACTGTACCAGAATAGTTCGGAGGTCTAAACACTCTGATCTGTAATCGACAATAGAATCACAGCATTGCGAAAATGTAATCGAGTGAAAAACACATTACATCGACGAATATCGGTGCCACTTTAACCCTCCATCTGACCGTGTTTTTTATCTTTTTAGTCAACACGTAGGACTGTCACATTTCATTTTATTTTCCTCACTTTTAAGTATTCAAGCAAATCTGAAATAATTCACGTAACGTCTACATTGTAGTTGACGATGTCGTAGTACTTTGAAAAAAATTATCAGTTGCTAGTTTATTTTCAACAAATTTTTAATACAATTACGAGGACACACACACCCTTGCGTTACTTTGGTTTCAACATGTCCGGATGGAAGGTTAATATGACAAATTCAACAGGACGCCACGACTGTGACAGCATTACCTGGATATCGGTACGTTCGCCGATCCATTTCGCTATTGCTTCCGCGCCAAATCCTACTCGCTGGATATCCATGGTGTCGGCAGCCTTCGGTTTACCTTTGGGCGGGAAATGCATGTATACCGGCGCAGTATTCAGCTTCATCTAAGATAAACCGATTTCTGTATTAATTACGTCCCCTCGCGTCTCTCCTCGCATTGCCCTGCTTACCAATCGAAACACGTCGGATCCTTCGTCAAAATCGATAGAGGCGAAGAACAGCTTGTTGGAGTACAACGGAGAATAGCGGAAGGAGTTGGCCACTATTGTGAACTCGTCGTTGGCGTGCCTGATGCAGAGGATTGCAATCAAATGACGAAGAGCGATTCGAGTGTAAGTATACGAGCATACGTGTGCAAATCAGCGCCCACCTGCAGATCTGGCATTGCCTCTGGGGTGCCATGGCGGTAAACATAACTATGATAGAATAGTTCCTCGGGGGAGCTTTGATGTACTGCTTGAATTTCGATCCGTTGAACTTGAGCACCGACTTCTTCATAGCCATCTCGGTCAGTTGCTGCACGCGCTCCGCCAAGGAGGTGCCCTGGTTCTGCAAGAGAGGGATTATTAGTCCTTTTGGAGCCGCGCGCCGAGACTCGGCCCGAGCGGAGCGACGCAGACAGAGTCCTCACGTTTTTCGTCCTGTATTGACAGACGACATAGCTCAGCGCGGAGAGAAGCACCAGCGCGACGAGGAGCTTGTACCTCATCGTGGAACCGGAGGCTCGTTCAGCTGCTGCGCGGAAACTCGACGAAACCGGGCAAGCCACCGGCGACACATCGGCGGCCACTGGCGATAACGCGACGGGCCCTGTTGTTGGTCCGTCGGGTACACGTGGCACAACGTCGCGCACGTATTCCGCGAATACGCGGGCAGACTCGACGGTGGTCGTCGGGGAATGGGGAATTGGGGACTCGGCGAGAGCCGTCAGCGACGAATCGTACGCGAGCGCCCGGTCCGTCCTTCTGCCGCGTTTACAACGGTAGGCGCGCGGAGGCGCGTCCCAGGGACTCGATTCAGTCGATTCTTCAATTTATTCCAGGGAGAAACGTATGCGAAAATTCTGCCCTTACAGAAAAGCTGCAAGTCGATTGGCTACTCGTGTGGCTTTAACCAATCGACTTTCAGCTTTTCTGTCGGAGCAGAATGTTCGTGTACGTTTCTTCTTCGGATGATCTCGAGAATCGATTTTGTATCTTGCAACGTAGTGAAAATGCTAAAAGTGAGCGGTTTTGTCGGGCGCTCTCTCGTCCCTTTCTTACGCATTCTCCCTTTTCACTCGCTCACTCGAGCAAAGGAACATCCCGACGCCTCGGATTTAAAACGAACACCGAGCATTGCGAGCAGCCTGGCGCGTGCATCGGTTGCGTCAGCTGCGTGTAACATTCTCGTGGACTCGCGCCCCATTGGCCGCCCCGGCGGCGAATCGTCGCCGCACTCGGGCTCGAGCTGCAAGGATTCGTCTGCTACAGGAGACCTCGTGCGCATGCGTGAGATGACGCAGCAGCTCGAATCCAATGGTGGACAACAGGTGCCACGTTGAGGGGCCACAGGGGGCCCGTGCATGCGCCAAGTATATCCATTCCGATGGTTTTCCCGCGTTTATTCTGTGATAGCGTTAGGGATGTAGTTAAAGTGTGATTAATATTTATTAGCGACAGGTGTATATATATGCAATATTATAATGCAAGCGATACGATGGATTGTCAACGGCCTTCTATATCAAGCGGCATTGAGAACAAGAAGAGGAACCAGGCAAAATTTCGACATACTTAGGCCGGTATTCATAGTCCGTTCTTATATTTAAGATCGTCTTAATGTGTTTTCAACCAATCACAGAGCCGTATTAGCGTCTTAAGACAACACTTGGGATGATTTTGAAATAAGAATCGACTATGAATACCGGCCTTAGTTAGGTATGGACACATTTAGAGATTGGCTATCAAGGCAATCGTGAGGACAATAGAAAAGCTGTCTGAGCGGCCTGTAATTAAGTCTTGTCGTGCGGTAAGACTGATTTAACTAGACATTCAAAAAGTCTAATACATATTAGATAATATAAATAAAAGTCGCGATGCCAACCCGTCTGCTTCGTCGACTGTTTCTAATAATAATACATTAGCGAACCACGATACTTTCATCAAAACTTTCTCCCCCGAGATTCGCTTACGGATCCATGTTTCATGTTGGGGACCTTACGATACCACTTGATATGTACGTCAGTGAGGCTGCGCAGACGTTCGCTCGACGCGCGTGCGCGAATACTCCTTGCGATCCCCCATCACTGGCTCGAGCGGCCGAGTAACCGCCGTTTCAAATTGAAATAACCGATCCGGCGAGTCGAGTGCGGGTCAACGGTGGTGGAATCGTGCGCAGTGTTCGGCGCGATCGAGCACGGCCTGCATCGTTCTGTGCTCGCGCCAACGAAACGTCGACGACGACGACGACTGCAACGGTGTTAACGGTCGTTTGACGGCGGCTGCTCACCGCGTGCGTCCCGCACGCGATCGCCCGACGCGGTCCCGAAGCCGGTGAATCCGCCGGTGAGGCTCGTTAACCCGCGAGGACACGGCAGGCGAGCCCACGCCGTCGCGCGAGGCGACGCGACACAACGCGCGGCCGAGATGTCCTTCTCCAAGGCGAGGCTACAACGCTTCAACGAGTTTGGAAGTAAGTTTGTTTGCTGCCTGCCTGTCGCCTCCGCACGTCGACCGACTCCGTCGCGCCGGCCTCCTCGGGCCCGCGTCTCTGCGTGGCTCTCTTGCCCGGGGGGGGGGGGGGGAGAAGGGAGAGGCGATACCTTCGTGACTTTTCCGAGGGAACGCACGGGAGACGTGACTGATTTGCCGATTTTTCCTTAATTCCTCGTGCGTACGTTTGTGCCTGGATGTTGTTGAGGGTTTGCCGAGTTTTGCACAGGTTTCGCCGCAACGAGACGATCGATAGTTGGAGCGTTAATTGTACGCGCGACTCGCTAGGACAAAAGACCCCGGCTGCGAATCTGCCGTGGAAACGAGGCTGGAGATCCCGTCGGATTTGTTTATTGTTGTCCCGCACGAGCGTGCGTCGCCGCGTTATGGCGGGAAAGTCTTAACGGTACCTGAGCGAGACGTCGAGCCCCAACCGTCTTTCGAATGCGTCTTGTCTCGGTAAACAACTAACGGTTTACATAAAACATTGATATTATACGTAGTCGAGAAAAACGTGTACGAAAGTGTGCGAGAGAAAAATATAAATAGGCACCGAGATCCTTGGCCGTTAAAAGCGTTTCTGTTACTAATTGTGCTGTCCACACGGCCGGAAAAATTTAACTTGTTACCAATATTATAATTTCCTATTCGACAATGCAGCGGTCATGTACAACATTTGTTATATTACATTTATATCGTTGAGTGGCAAATTATAATACGAGCTCCAAGGGACGAAGGATAGAAGACAGGATGTTGGCGTCAAAATGATTTTAATTTTTTTAATTCTTCGCAATGATTCGCAACATCCTGTCTTGGCTCTTATATCCTTTATTCCTGCGGCTTGTGATTTCACGGAGCCTTGTGGATTTTATTGTTTATAATATTAAATAATATTAATGAACCGTTGGTTCAAGTTTGCCGGGGTGTCTTGTATTTTCTACTGCACCCTCCATAATTTTTGCCCTTCTTTTATTGCAAGACAAGCTTCGTTGTAAATTGCATCTTTTCATCATGTAAAATGGGGCCGTTCTAGGAATTCCTATTTTATCTTTGCTTGATTTTTACGACATTATATACATATGTGTATATATTTATAATTAAACTGAACAAAAAACATATAGAAGTAAATGATGGATAAAATTAATAGTTCTGCATTGCAAAAGGCCTAATTATTTTTATAAAATACACGTATCTTGCTTTTCCGTGTGTATCTTTCAACGTTTGTTTTTGCAGATAAAATGTACTTTCAATAATCGCAGGCGCTAAATTCTTCCTCGTCGCAAACAACGATAATTTATAATGTAATTTTACCGTTTTAACAAGATGAACGGCAGATATGAACAATAAATGAGTAAATATGTATACTTATTTTCTTTACATAAATTTTAAGTATTGCAAAGTATGTTATAAACTCTCTCTGTGTTTTACCCGAGGGGTAAACCGCTGAGGGCATTGTGGTGTACAGATTTGCGGCATTACTGGGCATTACGAGGCTTTTCTGGGCATTAGGCCTTGCTGGGGCGTTATGAAGATACAATAAGATAACAAGATAAAGTAACGCCCAGTGGGCATTGATGTATGTACAAGATTTTGGTCAGCGGTTTCCCTCTCGGTTTTACCTAATCGACCAAAAATTGGGAAGATCAGACATTTAAAACAATAAAATTCAAGGCTCTGGCGCGAAATGACGAATAGAAAGAAGAAAGGATACAAGAGCCAAGACAGGATGTCACTGGCTAAATGATTTTTAAGATAGATCCGATAAGACATTTAGATTTAATGTTTTAGTCTGCAAAAACTTTTTTTCGTAATTCGTATGGTTAATAAAGCGCAAGATGGAACGGTAAAAAGAAAAAGCTCCACTCCTCGAAATGGCATAACACGAATGTTATTTAAATAGTCTTTTATCTCACACTTTTATCAGTTGTATATATTTAACTAATAGGAATAGTTGTAAATGTCGCCAGCAGTAATTAAACCACAATAGAGTCGAAATAGACGCGTGGATATCTTTATACTGTTATTGCGACTGATATTATCATATGCCTCGGTGGTCGAATTGGTGAGACGCTCCGCCTAGAGTGTAGGGAAGTCCAGGGTTCAAACCCTGGGCTGAGGTAATATTTTTCGCAAGAAACTTTCTGCATTATTAAAATTGCCAGATACGGCCGAGAAAACACTCATGTTGTACATATTTGTATTAATTGCGACTGATTCGCTTTATCACTATTGAACACGATGCTCCTCGCTGTTTTATATCCAATAATTCCGATAGACGATACCCGTCATCGAGACCGCTTAATCGCCGATCCGTTTTTGTCCTTTAGCTCGGCCAATCCGATTGAGTGAGTGGACAACATCTGTCCTCTAACTGCAGTTATTCTTGCCACTTGTATTTGCTTCTTGTAGCTCCCTTATCCCATTGTACACGTAGCTGTTCAAGTAAGAAGGGCAGGCAGCGCAATATTTTATTCGTTATTCCCTATATCTTATCTCTGTCGCGTATGCCCTTTAAATTGCTCGCACATCGATCCTCCCCCTCTCCCCTGTCTCTTTCACCCCTGTGGAAGAACGAGCGGCGGTAGACAATAAAAGAAGACGTTTTATCGCGTATAGACACGGCGGAGTACGCTGCGCCGGCTACACCTGGTTACTTGACGACCCCATGGAGATGTGTCCCTCGCATTAGGAACAGCTGTCTCTCCCATTTGCGCCCGCTTCTCCCCATGCACGATACGTCCCGCCAAAAGGAAGTCTCCGTCTTCCCTCTCCTTTGTCGCGGGAGACGCGCGCTGCGCGCGGGGTCGCGTCCTTATGTTGCGCAATATTTAAGTACAGCTTAAATATGCGAATTAACAGCACATTCCTCCCGATCGTCGATCTGCTAATCTTCGGAGCTTTCGGTAGAACTGTAATCTTTCTGCGTAATCGGGAATTTGAAAAAATACAATTGTAAACGTGGCATTTTTCCTTCGAGATCGCTAGAATATGATTCAATGGTAAAATTACGTCAACATATTAATAATACTTATAATTGCAAACGGAAAAAAGAATCTAAATATTTTGCATGTTATTCTGATTTGCTAACGCACGCATGTGATTTCGCAGGTGATGCACCTCCACCAGGCGCTTATGATCCAAAATTCGACAGTAAGGTGAAAGGACCTGTTATTGAGAAATCCGATAGGTTTGTAGATAATAAAAGTACAAGCAGCGCGGATTGCAGTGGATCGATTGTATCAGTAAAGAGCAATGCGTCGACTCCTGTTTTCCGAGTGGTAAGAATTGTCGCAGATTTTGTCGCCGATTACAAGTTTTAATATTTGAAAAAGAAAACAAGACTTGATGAAAAAAAAATTGCTCGTCATTGTTGCGAAATGATGAAGCTTAGAATTGTGGATTGTGATTTATCATTTGTAGTATGCTTTAAATTAATCTGTGAACGCACAACGTTCTTTTCAATATGATTACCAGCGTTGTTGTCTGATTGTGAGTCAATTATGTAATTTTATAATTTTATAAAAATATGTAGATATTTTTAAGTAATTGTTACGTCAGAATATAATATTAATAAGAACGAATGTATCATTAAAATGATGTAAAATGTTTTATTTTTATGCAGCCTCAAGCGCCTCCGAAGCGAACCATAAAACCGGGGTTGACTTATCCTAAATTAAAAACGCAAACGATTCAATTAGCCAAAGGTCAGAGTATGAAATATGAAAACCTTCAGCAACTTGCTGATCTTCAAGTAGAATGCTCGAACAAGGATAAAACTATACAGGAACATGAGAAACATATCGAGGATATGAAAGATGAGATGCGGAAATTAGAATACGAGCTGGAAGAGTTGCGTAAAAAACAAGATGAAATAGAGGCACAACATATGAAAGATATAGAAAAACTGGTTAATATAATATTTCTAAGCAGAAATTTTATTATTATCGGCTAGTATCAGTGCGCCGTGTCTTCAAAATTCTTTTAATTTACAGGCTACGTTACACCAGGGTGTGCTAAACGATCATGATGAGAACCATCAGGCAGAAATACAGAGCCTTCGCTATAAATTATTAGAAATGACCGAGGAAAAAGAACGAGAGATTTCAACGCGAAAAGCAATGGAAATGGAACTCAGAAATCGTGCGGCCGAACTAGTGAAAGGAATAACAACATTGGAAGCTGAATTGTGTGCTAAGAGAGAAGAGGACGGAGCAAAGGTAAATTAAATTATTTTATTTTACAAGTGTAAAATGTACTGTTGTATTAACCAAATTATGTTCTTTTATGTGTTTCGTTTGTTTAACAGATTGAAGCTCTTGAAACGGAAATTGCAGAATTGTTAAACAAATTGGAAAAAGCGAAACAGGATTACGATATCGAAATAGGATTATTAGAAAAAGAAAAATATCAACTTGATATCTGTGTCGCGAATTTAACTCAGGACCGATCTGATCTTGAATCTAAATTGGAAATAAGGCAAAACGAAATTTCAGAACTCGAAGCGCAATTGTCTGCTCTACAGTGCGAATTGCATGAACTTAAAGCGCAATATGAAGAGCTTGCCAGTGATTATGTCAATAAATTTTCTGACTTCACTAACAAATACGAGGAACAAATTGAACACATGAAAAATGACTTTTGGACAGAAAAGGAAAAACTTGTAATGGAAAATGAACTTTACAAAGCACGCGCATCAAAACTGGAAACAAAGGCAAATAAGATGGAGGAGACAAACTGTTCCCTTATGGAAGAATTGAAGAATCTTCAAAGATGTCATGAAGATGTATGTGAATCCACTATATGTGCAATTGTGTTTTCGTGTGTGTACCTATGCATTATTATATATATGTATATATAATATGCATATACATATATATCACATGTATATATGTATATATACATATATGTAATTTACATATTATATGTATATAGAATATTTATTGAGTCTTAAGGAATTTTGACATTGTGACGAAAAGTTCTTGCAGCAACTTTTGTTAAGTAATCCATATTCAGCTACAACTCTTCAAGGAGCTAAGTGTTTTTTGTATGAGCAGCTTGTTTGCCAAACTTGTCGTGTCTTGATTTGTCCTGCGGGGATGTATCAAAGTTGGGTGTACGATTTAATACGATTAAATGTTTATCGACATTGGAAATAAAACTCATTTAAAGAATAACGCATGTGTGACATGATCCACAATATTCTTTCCTTTTTCAAAGGATGTGTTGGTCATTGCATCACAGTAGTGCTTACGAGGTTGGAGGTTGCTATTTTTAAATATTTGTTGTAATAAAACAAAATAAACAAAGTTAAAGAATATGATTTTTATTCTACCTAACTTTATAATAATTAAGTATCATTTAACAAAGTTAAAAATTGACACCTAGAGCTTTAAGAATACGGATTATTTAACAAAAGTTGTTAAATTTAATTACAGTTTTACTACTTTTTGTTCGTTTTCCATACTTACATATATATGTGTACTAAATGAATGATTTCATCTTAATTGAATAATTTTTCTTTTCTTGTTCATGCTTTAGGTGACTCTACGTTTGCAAGAAGCTCAAAATGAACTCGAACTTTTAAATGAGAAGCATACCATTATGATAGAAAAATATAAAAAGGACTTGAATGATATGACAAATATGCATAGGAATAAAACATTAACACTGGAAAAAGTATTGGAGGATGCCGCAGATGAATACTTGAAAGAATTGGGAAATGTACGTTAGCAGTGACATGTATAATATTTTTTGCTTTAATTATATTAGTCGTATTTTTATAATTGATTGTTCTGATAATAATTATAACATACACGTTATTTTATACAGGTCACCAAGGCAAAAGATAAAGAAATAGAAGATTTAAAACAAGCTGCCATCAAGAAAATCGAAGAGGAAACCGAGCTGATAATGAAGCATGCTCGACAAATGATAGAAGAATCGGAGGCTGATAAACACGCTATGCTAGCAACATACAGCACTGAAAGCGAGGAACAGGTGAAAAAAACAATTGTTGAGTGTGATGCGAAAGTAAGCAGATTATATGTGTAGAATGTCACAAACATCACTAATTAATTATTCATTTGCTATTAAACTTTGTGCAAATATACGGGGACTACATCTTGCTTTTGTTAACAGATTGTTACGTGATGTAATTCATTCTGTGAATATTTTTCTGTCAACGCTGTCTTTTCCTGTACCTCTTTCTATATGTGCTCTTTGTGATGTTTGAGAACATTTTTGTTGCAACATGGACCAACGTATTCGTGGATACTGATATGCGACTTTTTTTTTAGGTCCACGCCATGGTTGAAGAGACGCGAAATACCGTGGAAGAGGAGATGCGACTCGCTAACGACAGATATAAAGCATGTTTGCTTCGTATGGAAGTAGAGCGTACTGCGTTAGACAAAAAACTTTTGCAGAGAGATAATGAAATCACCAAACTTTCCATAACACTCGAGGAACTAAGATCATCCGTGGAAACACAGGTGACTTATCACTAGACTAATGTTAATAACATTGTCCATAATATATGTTATTATGCCATAAATTGTAACTTTCAGGCAAGTTTTAGTCAAAGTTTACAACTTGAGCTAGATAAAGCAGAAAGCGATTTGGCGGAGAAGAAAGAAGAATTGAGAGCTTTGAAGGATCAAATTAGAACAGAAGCGGCAGGAATGGTTGCCAGGAAGAAAAGGTTGGTATCAACAAATTTTATGTCTGTAATGCGTTTGAATTTTTATTAACTCACTTCGCCGAGAGCGATTACTTTAATTATCTTAAATATTCAGATTTGAGGTAATTATGGCTGAAAATCAAGCGTCCGTTGTTGCACTTACAAATCGGTTGGCTCAAAGTAACGCTGAAGTGGAAAGATTACAGTACGAAGTGACACGTAGTGAAAATTCCATACGCGAACACAAAGAATTACTCTGTGCGATGCGTACCAACTCACAATTGGTGCACGAACAAGTTCATTCTTTCATGAGAGCGTTGGATTCCCATAGAGAATTGGTAGATCAGCATCAGTCTGGTAATATGTCTCAGTTTGATAAGATAAAGTCTCTTTTTGAAACAAAAATCGAGAATCTAAAACAGAAAGCCGCAAAGGAAATTTCAAGACTTGAGGATGATGCTAAGCTAAAATCTATATTAAATGATGAGGTAACGTTATAGCAGTTATTTTAAAATTATGCTATGTCATATATGAAAGGAATAAGACTTTCCTAAAAATTGATTTTTTAACTTGGATTATTCTGCTTCCATTGTAGTTGAGATTACAACTTGATGAAATGTCTAAAAATATCAATGAAGCGCAAGGTGCATTACTCGTACTGGAAGAACAAAATGATGCTAGACAGATTGATATTTCACGAATGGAGTTAATAAATAACAAACTTATTGAGGAATTAAAGAGTCGTGACAAAGCGTTAGACGAAAGTAAACTATTGCTTCAAGATCAAGCAATGCAACATAAAATTATTCTAGACAAAGTATGTTAAAATAAAATATTATAATAAATCGTATGAATGAATAATTGACAAATCTATTAATATATTATTAATATATGTATTTAAAATATTTATAGGCAAATTCACAAATAAAACAGCTCTCCGAGAAAGTAAAGCAATTCGAAGAAATGGGACCAACTGCAAAGGTAATGTTTTTCAATGATTATAATTTATTATGTTGGAATTACATTGAAAATATTATCAAGTACCAAAAAAAAACATCAAGAAATAAAAATATCTTATTATAGGAAACTACTTTATTATTGGAGCAGGAACGAAACAAATGGAAATCTTCGGAAAATGAACTTATGCAGCAGCTTAAAAAAGAAATAGCAAAACGAGAAAGAGCTGAAGAGTGAGTTTAATATGGTATACAATTTTTTTGATTACAAATTTGAAAAATAATGGCCATTTTGTTATATGTAGAGAGATTGCTAAATTTGCAATATTGAACGAGGATCTTAAGAAAAATTACGTAGAAATCACTGAACAATACGCTGAAGCAATCGGTCATCAGAATCCTAAACAAAGGATCAAACATGTTATTCGACTTAAAGACAAGAAGTGCGAATTGGAACAGGTGTGTGCCGTCGTTCCGCTTTTAGTAATTTTTGTAATATCTTTTTTTGCTTTTTGCTTCCTTTCTGTATTATATTGGTAAACATTTTCAGTGGAATTACCGCTACAATGTTGTTAAAATTATACAAAAATGTCTGAATATAATTTGGGCGTACAGATATGCCCGATAAATAATGCGTTTGTTGTACAATCGTGGCAAATAATTTTGTTTGATGTATATTTAAATTATAATGTAAATATTGTTGGCTCTCCGTTTCATAAAATTCTATTGTCTTCATCATTTTCTGAATCAGTCGTGTAATATAGAGTAACATTCTTCTCTTTAATATTTCATTCTCCTGCTGTTCTCATATTTGCATGTTATATTACAGTAAAAATAGATGAGTTAAAGCGCGAAAATAATTCATTTCGAGCATGTGTCATTGAAATAAAAATGAAGTCTAAGAAGGAATTTTATAATAAGGAGAATACTTGAATAACATCGAGAAGGAGAATTGATTGTACATTATTTTTCTAACTATGTTTTATAGATTGGATTTTATATAAATAAATTTTTGTCCTTAAGCAAATCTAAATTTCGTTTTTATTTATCCAGTAGAGCTCAGGATCAGTTTGTTATAACCGTAAATAGGTATTATGGCTTTTTTTTTACTTGTATAATCTAATGACTTTTATATAATTTTTTATAATTCTGATTAAAAATGAATTTTTTTGTAGGAATTGCTAACCAAGACTAGATTAGTGGAACAACAACAAAAGACCATAGAAAAGTTGAAAGCAGAAGAAAAGCGATCTCACTGGAAAGGCAAGGAGAATGTAGGAATGGTACATTCAACCCCTATTTCTTCTCCGCATAAAACGACGCCATTAAGGGACCGAAATGATTAATCTTAAGCAATAGTTGAATAGCTTGTCTTAAGTTATTAATCTATAGATTACAGATATTCAAATTGTGCCCCAACAATTTCCTAAGGAATTAGAAAAGCAGTTGTCGCGATAGTTAATAATATTTGTATTATTAAATAAGGAAACAAGCTTCAAAAGCTGTATATTTTTATAAAAGTTACGAAAATGTTTTTGTTAATACTGTTAATTTTGCCATTGTGAATTTCATGCATAAATGAAGCGAATATACTGACAATAAGTTCAGGCCAAATTTAACAAGCTTCTTCGGTTGGAAATTATAAAATTATTTTAATAAGGAGTATGTGTTACATTGACTCAATTTCGCGAAACGTCGTGCTGAAGAAAACGCCTCCGCCGAAGCCAAGTAGAATACCCACCAGTTTCATCGATCTGGGATTTTGGCTGCTCATGTCCCACTTTAACCACTTGGCCAAAAGCATCGGTACGATGCCCATGATCGTGCTCACAGTGCACAATACCACCATGGTGACAGCTTTGGCAGTTAATACATTCTTTTCCGAATCTTTCGAATCCTCGCCGTGGTGAGTCGTCACGTTCACTCCCGCCATTTGGAGCAAGGATTCTATTAGCGATATGGTGGCGAATCTTCCGGCTCTTCTTCACCGTTTACTTTCTCTGGATGGCTCAAAATGTATCATCGTTTCGTCCTTCCTTTGTATTGCCTTGTTTTCCTCCTCCTTTGCTCCAACACTCGTATACCCATCGTTTGAACCGTCTGAACTCCGAATCATGGCATCGTACCGATGCTTTTGGCCAAGTGGTTAAAGTGGGATATGAGCAGCCAAAATCCCAGATCGATGAAACTGGTGGGTATTCTACTTGGCTTCGGCGGAGGCGTTCTCTTCAGCACGACGTTTCGCGAAATTGAGTCAAGTAACACATACTCCTTATTAAAATAATTTTATAATTTCCAACCGAAGAAGCTTGTTAAATTTGGCCTGAACTTATTGTCAGTATTTTGTAATAAAACACAAGCGCTATACCTTATATTTATTATGAAGCGGATATGTTCGAACTGTCGACAACACGTTATAAGAAATATTTGTAATGTATTTTACATTTTATATAATTTGTAACAACCTGGTATATTTTATGCACGACTATTGTACGAATGGATCACTATTAATATACATATAAAGACTTGCTATAATATACTTTTTATATTATGGTCTCAATAAATGTTCTGTCCGGATAGAATTACATTTGACATGTGATAATGTGGTTTTATTTAAATGTTCAGACTCTGGTACAATACTCGTTCATTAAACGATCTTGTAAACAGGCTGATTTCTCCTACTACAGAAATAGCGAATGTCTCGAATGTATTTTATTCAAACGACAGATGGATTCAATTTCTTTTTCAAAATAATTACTTCAGCCGTCAAATATTAAAATCCAGTGTAACGATTTAATGTAAACGTGAACAATATGTCTATAAACAATAATTTAGATAATAAAGGTCCAAGTACACGTATCTGACGTACGCGTTTTTGTGTAACCCGTTAATTACAGTATTTCGCGCAGCGACGTTGCTCGGAAGAGATTACGACGGATTCCGTTAGAGTTATCACCAACTTATCCACGTGATTGGACTTTATTATGCTCGCCCATGCGCCCGGAGTCGGGGCGCGGTGTACGCTCGGTATTATACATTCCGTCCGTGGCAGCTCTCGACACCCGTAATCACTGTAGATACCGCTCTTTGAACTCCTTCTCTCTAAGGTCAATAGCTACATGAATTTTAAACATCGCCGAACAACTTGCGCTTGGTCTAATTAGTTTTCCACCTTATCAACGTCTCGTCTATTTATCGCTAACAACGGCCGCTCCCCTAAAAAGCGGCGTTTCCGTGTCAAGCCGCGAGACCTAAATAGTCCCCGGCCCCCGTGACAAAACCCGGCGGATGTAATTTGCGGGGCGGGAACGGGAACTTGGGGGATGTACGGATTCGCCGTATCGTATCGTAATTCGGATTTTATGCTTCGCGTGATCCTGTCGCACCGGATTACCCGCGCTGCCCGACGTGGTCGACGCATTCAGATGAATTTAGATGAATCTGATATCACCGTCTTTATTTTTAAATGCAAAGCATGCCCAACGAATCGCTGACTCGATCTCTAATGCTTCGGTCTGTACAACTGATTTTTATGAGCTCGGATATTTTACAGTAATCTAATCGCGATCGCAAAGCGGATTAATACCGACAATATCGATTGTAAGAGGGGAAGCGTAACTAATATAATTTCAAATAAACAAGTGCGAGGAGCCAACAAGAGCTACTCTGATTCACTTCCGCTAAGTCGTAAAAATTGCTAGTTGAAATAAAAATTTCAATAATCTCCTTCGGTACCGAAATTTCTACCAAATGTAAAAAGGGATTATTCACATTTAATTTCCTCCAATCAATCGCGTATCAAATGTGTATAGGTACGTTTTCGTGGCATGATTGACCAAATCTGGTGAGACGATTGACCAAACCTCGTGGGATGATCGGGACATCGTGGCACTTTGTGTAACACCTCGGGATTAATCGCGCGCGACGGGGAAGGAAACGCGAAAAATATGCGATCGCACCAAGTTGCTATTTGCACTGGCTCACTCCTTGTAAATTGGTCCGACGGTACGGATTTTAGTCAACGGAAATCGCCGATGTATCAATTTAAACTATCGATGAGTAATATAATTAATTAAGCAATGAAGAAGGCAACTTCACTCTCGGTAGCCGAGCATCGA